GGGGCAGTGTGCAGCAGACCTGGAGCTCCTTTGCTATTAGGGTTGGGGGCGGGTGTCTGAGCGCCAGCTCCTCTGCACCCTGGGACAACTTCCCTCTTCTGAGGGGCCGGCAGAGACACTCCCCCACACACTCACTCAAAATAACTCAGCCCACTCCCAGGACCTGGCAAAGGCTAGCATGGAAACTTCTGGACCCGGATTTTCCGTCTGTGGTGTGCCGGAAAGATAGTGTGATAGGCATGTCCCCAGTATGGCTTCCCCTCTTTCCAACCGCATTCGTTGTTGGGGGCGGGAGTGATGGGCACATCCTAAAAAAAAAAAAAAAATCCAGCTTCCTCCCTCGCCCCTAGACTTCTTCCGGTGGTGGGGGGGTGGGGAGATCATATTTACTTGCCCAGAGGGATTTTCCAGTGTCTGGGCCGGGGTGGGGCTGTCCCAAGGGTCCTGTTTCAGGCTCGGCTGGATCCAGCGCTCCTCGAGCAGGTGCGCCCCCCCCCCCCCCCGCAGATAGGCTCTGGCCCTGCTCACTGGCTTTTCCTGCTGCCACTTGGGGGGGGGGGGGCCCAGGGTAACGCAGGTCCTGGGCTCCAGCTCCCATCTTTCATTTGTTCACTCATTCAGGCAATGCCTAATGAATCACGGTTTTTGTGCAAATTACCTGACTTAACATGCGATCAGCATCCGCGATGCCCAGCAAAATGTTCCATAAATGCTAGCTAGCCTCCTCATTGCTGTATTTAACTCACTTTAACCTCAGGGTGACTGCCCAGACATGTTCAGTTAAGGTAGACGAAGGGCAATGCTATACCAGAGTCCAGGAAATGCAGGGTTCTTACTGAGCCCCTACTACTCGCTGGGGGGAGCATGCCAATGGGAGCGTGGTCCTGGGGGTGACCTGGGCCGGGGCTGCGAGTGGGACCCAAGCAGTCTCTAGGGGAGGCTTCTGCGGGCAGAGGCCAGGGGTAGGAAGAAGTATGGCCTGTTCTCTGATGAGCCATCAGCCCTCCCCGCTGACCTCAATCCCACCCTGTCCTTAAAGCACCTGGATAGGGTCAGGATTAAAATCTAATGTGGGCAGTAAGGATCAGGATTAAGGTTAGGAAAGGGGTCTGCTAGCTGGGTTCCTTCACACTTCAAGGAGGCTTTGCACTTGGAATCCGTCTTACATCCTTCTCGGAGAGAATCCGAGGCTGGTGAGGCCTGCTCTGGGGACAGAACCCGGGCTGGGAGCCAGCCCTGGAAGGCTTCTCCCCACCTGCAGGTGCCAGGGACTTGCCCATGTCCCCTAGAGACCACACCAACCCCTTGGTCCCTTATGGTCTACCAAGGAGCGGCGGTCAGTTCTCATCAACCTCGTGGGCTCCAGGTGATGGAAGTTGAGGGCGCGATGCCCGGGGGGTGGGCAGAAAGGTGCCGCCCACACAGCGGGTGCCACCCGAGTGCCGCCACCGCTCCCAGGTCTTACTACACTTCTCTCAGAGGCTCAGGCCGTACTGGGAGTTCTTCCAGAACTGGGGCTTACCCCCTGCTAAGGGTCCCAGAGCCGTACACCTGGGGAGCTGGGACAGGCCGATCCGCGAGCATGTCTGCCCACCTAAGCCCTGAGGTGGCACTGAAGTACTTCACCAGGAACACCTGACTCACTAGGAACCACCCCGGAGGGTTAATCAAACAGCAGTGGGGAGGCTGCTTCAAGTCCTGGGGAGTCCCCTTCAAGTTAGAATCCAGCAGCGGTGAATTCTGAATCCCAGGTTAAGCTGCCACCTCAGGCAGACCACCCTGACTGCACAGTCACACACCCCCACCCCCCCACCCCCGCCCAGACACACACGCACCTCCGTGTCCAGCAGCCCCTTGAGCTCTGGCACTATCTGTGTCTGTGTACCATCCTCTCCTCCCCAGCCCTGAGCACCAGGGGCAGGGGCCGGCACACAGCAGGCCCCCAATCAATGCTTACCCAATAACGAATGACTGAGGGCCCACAGCCTGGGGTTATCAGGGTGACTCCCACTCCAGGGCCCTTCAGCCTGAGCACCCCTCCGGACTGAGCTGCCGCTCCTGCCTCCACGTGCTCCCTGCTGCCGTCACCCCTCCGCCCAGACCAACCGCCAGACCCTGCCTGGGAGGCCGCTTCTGCCTCCGCGGGTGAGCAGCTGACACAGGCCTGGCCGGTCACTAGTTCAGTTACAAGACACTAGAGGACACACTATTGAAGGGCTTCTGCTGGCGCTACTGGGGGAGGGAGCACAGACACAAGGCCTGGTTCCCTGCAGTTTCTGGGGCCACCGCAGGCACCAGGGAGGAAAGCGCACCTAAGGGTGAGCGTACAGGAAGCAGAACACCGCACCGGCGATGCCCGGCCTGAGCGCTGCCCACACCGCTGGACTGTCCCAAGAGCACAACTTCCAGCGCTGAGAGGTGCTACCGTCTCAAAGCTGAGGAAGGCAGGAGGAGGACAGCTGCCACCACAAACAGGGCATGCTGAGCAGTGCCACGGTCACAGGGAAGACTGGCAGGGGCCTCTGTGTGTCCAGATCAACACTAGGAATAGGACTCATTTACAAACAACAGGCAGGGCTGGAGAAAGGGGGACCCCCAACCCAGAGGAAAGTGCATCCAGAAACGACCCAGAGGCTGAAACAGCAAAGATCCCAGGTGACTGTCATAAAAAAGTTAAAGTTTCGACAGGAGAAGGTAGAAAATGGGGAATTTCAGTAGAGAAATGGAAAAACCCAAGTACACATACCGGAACCAAAACATACGAGGTGTGAGCGAGACAACGCTGGGGGACGGGCCACACGCAGTGTGCGTAGCAGCTGGGGGTCCGCAGGAGGGAAGGAGACACGTGCGGAGGCCTGCGGGGCAGGGAGCACCCGGCGGTCTCGTGTGTGGCCGGACACTCGGGGGCAGCAGAGATGTCAGGAGAGACAATGGCCAAGACGTCCCCAAACTTAGGAAAGGCACTAACCAGCGTGCCCAAACAGCTCCGCATAAAAGCCACACCTCCGTGCACCCCAAACAGACTGGGGGCGCCACATACGAAACAAAAATCACCGTCAGAGGAAAGAGACAGGCTCTACCTGGGGAAACACTGGAGTTTTTCATCTGAAGCAACAGAAACCAGGGGTAAATGGACCATATTTAAAATGCTGAAAGAAAATAAATCAACCCAGAATCCTGTATCCAGCAAAAATAAAACACAGCTAGGAAGTACTTCAAACACGGAGAAATCAGGGCCTGGTCAGGCCAGCAAAGCTGCCACCCACAGACACTGAGCGCAGCGCCTCACAGTGACAGACAAGGAGCCCACCCAGAAACCCAGAGTCCAGTGAGGAGTGAGCACAGGGACAGACACCCACCTTCAAAGGCCACGCAGAACAACGAGCTCCCACGACACCCGTCTCCAAAGCCTGGAATGCAGACACCGAGGGCTGGGGATTTCTCACAAAACTGGACACGCTCTTGACATTTGATTTACCCAAACGAGTTGAAAACGTGTGCTTGAAAACAAACGTGCACACGGATCCTGCAGCAGCTGCCTCCAGAAGTGCCCAAACTGGATGCGACCAAGACACCTTCAGCAGGAGGGGATGCCAGCCGTGGTCCACGCAGAGGCTGGAATACTACTCAGCACTAACAGAAACGAGCCATCAAACCACAGACGTGGAGGCGCCTTCAATGCACAGAGGGAAGGAAGCCGGGAAGGCCACACTGCACACACACACCAAGGGACACCCTCATCAAGCTGCTCAGAACCAGCAAGAAAGTCCAGTTTTAGGTTTCAGTACAATCACACACTTATCTGTGAAGCCTTCACTAATCTCCCCAGAAAAGCCAAACATTTTAGGATCCACTGCACCAGGATTAGAGAGCCGTGTCAGAATGCTGCAATTACAGGTGTATCTGCAAGTCTCTTCCCTCGTGTAGACATAAGCACCCTGAGATAAGAAACATCTTACTCATTTCTTTACCCAAAATGACCAAAAGAACAAACAGGTGAGTGACATTAATAAGACACCCCAGGGCCTGGGCGGCTCAGTTGGTTGGGTGTCCGACTCCGCTCAGGTCACGATCTCACGGTTCGTGGGTTTGGGCTCTGTGCTGACAGCTCGGAGCCTGGAGCCTGCTTCAGATTCTGTGTCTCCCTCTCTCTCTCTCTCTCTGCCCCTCCCTGGCTCTCACTGTCTCTCTCTCAAAAATAAACAAACATTAAAAAAAATATATATATATTTTTTTAAAGATACTTCTAACCTCTAATTCTCCAGAAACGAGAAACAAAGAAACAAAAGGCATGTTATTGAATACGAGGAAGCAAAAAAAAAAAAAAAAAAAAGTTAAAAATCTTAAAAGGTGGATAAAAAAACTAAGATAAGCAGATTTCTTGCTGTAAACAGAGCCAACCAGAAGACAGCAGAGCAACTTCTCTAAAGCACTCGGGAAAATGTAACTACACAAAAACGCCTCAATCAAAATCATTCTCAAGTCCCTCTAGTGCCCTGGCCCCTGTGCCCTGGCTTCCAACACTGGACAACCAACCCTGCAGGAATAAACCCCAGATGCTGAGACCCTGACTCCCCCGACCCTCCCAACATACCTGGTACCTGATTCATCCTCTCTTGGACTCCACCCCCGTCCCAGCCAGGCTGCCCCCCTCCCCGCTGTCTCCCGCCCCCCCTCCCAGTAAGGCGCCCCACCTGACTCTGCCTCCAGCCCCCTCCCCTCTGCAGTCACCACAGGCAACTACGAACAGTGGTCTTAAGCCCCTGCTTACTCCCCCAGGGACTCCAGACCCAGAATGAAGCCAGCCATCCCTGACCTGCCCAGCCTCTCCCACTACCCTCCAGCTCTCACCCTGGGCCTCTTCCCCGGGGACCTGGGGCTTTTCTGTGGCCTTGGCCCTCATGGTGGACCGGCCCCCCACAGCCTGACTGCTGCCAGCACAGGGCCCACCAAACGACCCACGGTCCCCAGCACCTCCTCCCAACAGCACAAGGCACCCGTGGGCTTCAAATCAAGTTTAATAAATAAAACAGCAAGGGATTCAAGGCAGTTATCACTTCACAGTGTGGTCCTTGGTGGGGTGAGGGAAGGTCGAGGCCAACTCTGCAGACGGGCTCGAGCCAAAACCCTCTCCTGGTGACACCCGGGGGTTGGGGAGCACTGCCCTGGCCCCATGGAGGACCCCACTCCAATTTGTAAACAGAAACATAAATAAAATGAGGAAAGCTGGGAAAGAGAAGGACCGGGCCCCCAAACCATCTTGCTGGGGAGCTTCAACAGAAATATGACCCACGGGGTCAGGGGAACGGACTGGAGCCAGCCCCCTCGGTGCCTTGGTACCAAGGGGACGGGGGGGGGTGGGGGGTCACCTGTCCCCTCGACCCCACCCCCAGGCTACTCCTGGCTGGAGAGAGGGGGTAGGCAGGTGTGGGGTAAAGTGCGGCTTTTCCTGACGAGGAGAGCAGGGTGGAGGTCGAGGGTGGGCGGGGCCGACATCGAGGTATATGGCTCTGTGCCCCAAGGGGTTTGGCACCGAGTAGCAGCTGCCCACGACCCCCGAGCTGGGGCAGCCTGAGGCCCTGCCAGGTGCAGGGAGACAGAGCCAAGCGGAGGGCCGAGGGCGCCCCGGGCGGAGGCTGCTGGTGGGGCAGCATCCCGCCCCATCTCCCACCTCCCCGATGGGGCAGGGACACCTTCCTCTGCTGGCTAGACGGGGCCGGGCCCTCTGCATCCAGCTGCCTGGCGGGTCCTGCGGTGGGGGCAGCGGCCTGGACAGCACGAACAGTGGTGCTGGGCACTGAGAGCGCCAGTCTGTGTGTCAGGAGGGCAGGGCAGCGTCCCAGCCACCGCTCACCCCCGTCCTTGACGCGTTCTGAAGCAGAGGCGGCGTGACCCGGGACCCACAAGGAGGGGAGGGGTCGGGAAGACTGGCAGAGGCAGGCCCCGCGGTGGCCCCGCGTCCTGTCCGGGCCACACGTGCCGCCCGCGGCCAGAGCTCAACACGTCATCACGTTACAGCTGCAGGGGAGAGACCGAGAGAGGGTGAGGGTCAGTCCAGTCCCACTGAAGGCACGGCCTCGGCGCCGTGGGCTGAAACCGTGGCTCCCGACCTTGCCGCCCCCAGCAGACCGTGTTTTCACTCGTGCTGGCTGACAGGCTCCCCAAGGCAGCACTGTCCTTGGCGCCTGGGGAGGGCTGGTGGCCGGGGCAGGGGTGGGAGGAGCCTGGCACTGGCCCCGTTTGTACCTTTTTGGGTTTTGAACCATATGAGTGTATTACCTAGTCAAAAAAATAAATAAGCCAAATTAAAAGTAGAGAATAAAAGTAAAGAAACCAACAGAGCCTGCTCCACATGGCCATGCCATCCTCGGGCCCTCGGGGGCACATCCCTCCCCTCTCCAAAGCTCAGCCTAAGGCTGGGGGACACTCCAGCTGGGCATGGGGACCCGGGGCAGGGGCCGCACTCACTGTGACAGGGGCTCCGAGTGCAGCCCGGGGGCTGGGCACGCTGGGTGGGCGGCCAGGAAGGGATTCACGTCCCCAATGCCGATGAGTCCAAACTCAGTGACCGACAAGGCCACCTGTGCTGGGGCCACAGCCTCCTCAGACTCTCCATTCATATCCACGTGGCTAGAGATGAGGGGCAGCTCCTCGGGGAGGGCCCCCGGCAGGGCCAAGTCCACAGCCAATCTCGGGCTGGTGCTGGGCTCCGGAGTGGCTGTGGCCGGGGGGTAGAAGGCTGGTTCGGCCAGGGCTGGGGGCCGCCTGGGCAGGGGCACAGCTGGGGGCGTGTCCAGCTGCTGAAACGGACAAGGCCCTGGCTCCGAGGACGGGAGGCTGTCGGAGCTCTCCCCAGGCTCACCGAGACTGCCGGCCGCGCTGTCTACGCTCAGCGGCTCTGCGGGGGAGAACACAGCTGAGGCCGGGCCCCCGGTGGCACCCCACACCAGCCCTCCTGGGACCCAGAGCCATCCTGGCTCACGTGCACTCAGTTAAAATCACACTTATGCCTCCTACAACCTGTGCAGGGCTCCTGCCCAATCTTTGCAGGGCCCAGCAAAGCCTGAGGACCCCTCTGCAAAAAGGCGTTTTCACGCAAAGACAGAAAATACATACAGACACAGAGGAAACCGGTCGTACTGAAACTGTGTGCCTGGGCTAACAGTCCTGCCCTGGGAGGTACTGACCCCCATTTTTTAAACCAGATCAGAGCGAAACAGGTTCAAAGGAAAACGCGTGGATGCCAAGTACAGCTAAACATGGAATTTGAGAACCCTTTGTGCACAGGTTCATGACGAGCAGTCCCGGGGGCTAGGCAGATGTGGTCCCCCTTTCAGACAAACCATGGAACGTGCCAGATTCAGGAACGAGGGACGATCTAAAGCCCACGGGACCACAGGCTCCCAGAACCAAGGTCCCCACCGTTATCTCTGTGGCCTCTGTCAGAAACTCAGTCCTGAGCCAGACCCGGTCTTGCTCTTGTGTGGCCCTAAGCCCAGGATGCCAGAGAGGCTTGGACACCCATCTGACCTCCCACATGGCACCTGGGGCCTGCAGAGGGGCCCCCACTTCAGGCCGTGGGGCACAAAGTTCCCCTCCACGTAACAAGTCCCCACGGTCACTCGTGCGTGTGGCTGCCCACGTATGGTAACGTACTGGGGTAGATGGGCACTGGCTGGCTCCCCGAGCCCAGCCCTGAGAGCTCCTGGGGCCCGTGTCAGGGCACCAGTGAGGAGGGGGCTCCCCCAAGAGCAGGGACCCACCCCGTATTCTCACCTGTGTGCATCCGTGCCAGGGGGTCCTGCTCAGAGCCCAGGCTGTCGGTAGCAGGGGGCAGAGGCGGTGAGGGGTGGGGGCGGCCATCAGGGTCACTGCTGTCCAGGTCCTGGTCTACATCCCTGTGGGGGGGGCATACGGTGAGGGGCTGTGGGAGACACAGCCTCAGGTGGGAGGTGTCCGCCTGGGATGCCCACCCCCGGCACGCACGTGGCTCCAGACGGGCCGTATTTCCTCCGGCCCAGCCTCGTCTGCTGGGAGAAGTAGTCGTAGCGCTCGGACTTCTTCCACAGGTAGTAGTACTCCACACATTCGCCCACGGACCGCGTGCGTACCTGCGAGCGAGCCCAGCGGTCACCGTGGCCCCCAGACCCCACTGTCCTCACCTGCCAGCCCCTTCTGCCTCCAGAACAGCAGGGACAGGTCCTGGCCCCTGCCGCTCCTGGACAAAGCAAGACTCTGCCTGCAGCCCCCATCGCCTGCTTCCAACCCGCCCCCGGGGGGCATCCCCTCTCCTGAAGCAGGACGGCGCCCCATCCCACCACCTAACTGGTGTGGAGCCAGAACCCCATTACTCACCCCAGATCCACACATCCAGTGCCCACCTCCCTCGCTCCAGACCACTAGCTCCCAAAGGCAGCGGCATCCACCTTGTCGCCCAGCAGAGAGGGGGAGCAAAGGCGCTGGTACAGACACAGGGACGGAAGCCTGCTTTTCCCACCAAGTGCAAAGGGTCACGAACAGCAGGGAAGAGCTGCCCACGAGGGCAAACCAGACACCACTAAGGCACACGCCACGGGTTCGTGAACCCAGCTCAACACCACAACAGGGAGAAGCGAAAATAACTTTGTGTGTATGGTGTCCCGGGAAGGGAAGCACACAAATACGTCTGGCGGGGAGCTGGACCCTCCACTTACAAAACCTCTTGTGGGGAAGAAAAGTCACAGGAATGAAATGTACAACCCAGGGAACATGGTCAAGGAAGCGTAACAAGGTTACAGAGCAACAGAAAGCGACTATGTTACTGGGGTGAGCGCTGACTGACGCACAGAACTGTCCAACCCAAAACCAATACGATATCACGTGCCAACTATACTTGCGTTAGAAACAAATGTTTAAAAACCCTCTCTTGACAACACAGGGCATCTTCCCACTTTGGAGGACCAGCCCACGGCAAGCCCAGGGCTGTGCCTGCAGAGGGCAATGGCACCAGAGTCCACACCACTGTTGGCCAAGATGAGGGACCAGACACTGGTGCCCAGGACGAGTCTGGAAACCAGCAGGGACAGGGGCACACGTAGATGGTCTCATCTTCTCGGTGAGACCCCTTCGCACACCCATCTTGCCAGGGGATGAAGTCCTGTGCAATCTCCCTGGGGCCAGCTCCAGCAAAAACCAGAAGTGCCCGGAGAAGGCGGCCACAGCCGTAACCAGGGTGGGCAGGCACGTGGCTGACGGCACGCAAAGGGAACAACGGCACTGTGCCGACAGTGCCGTGCTTACGAAAGCGGCCTGGGCTGTGGTGAAAACGCAGTGAGCAGAGAGCTGCATCAGGCCACAGGGCACAGATGTGACCAGAGAATCAAGCACTGCCTGTCACAGCGCTGGGCATGGTCAGCTGAGCACCATCAGCCCCCTGACTCTCCACAGGCCCCTGGCCCCCAGCAGGCACCTCATTCACTCCAACCTCCCGGGAGAAGACGCCGAGGCCTGAATGCGAGCCTGGCCTCAGCCAGGCCCTTCTCTACTACATACGTCCCCATGAGCAGCGGGAAGGAGCCACACTAGTAGCCCTAGACAGAGGACAGCAGACTGGATGACGGGTGAGGTGGGGGAGCCACGGTGAGACGGAGCCACAGGCATGTGCCCAGGTAGATGTCCCCCAGGCTGCACACCAGAGGGGCCAAGGCTCTGCCAAGAGGTCAATCTGGGAGTCATGACACATGAAGCCACGGGCAGATGGCATCACCGAGAGATATGCAGGGACCAGCAGAGACCCAGGCCTGGGGGGGGGGGGGGGGGGGCAGGGGAACCTGGCACTCGGCTGTGCCCCCGGTCATGAGTTCATGAGTGTTTGCCGTGGGTGGGTCCTCTGAGGAAAGCAGAGACCCTCAGACCGCAAGGCAAGCGGCGGAGGGTGGAGTCCAGGCTGGGGGTGGGCACCACACCAACCAACAGGCTCTACTTCAAGGAACAGCAGGGCAGTACCGAGGAATCGCGAGCAGACAAGACTGCTAGAGTCCACCTCGAGGCAATGTCTCTCCCCAAACTGGAGCCTTCTCTTGGGGACCGGAAGGTGGCCCAGCAAACGTCAGCAGAGGAACCAGAGCAAGACATCAAGGGACATGTGGCAAGCCAGAGGCAGGCGACAGGGCTTCAGCCACGGCTCAGAGCGGCCCGCCCTGGGCCTGGTGAGTCTCAAGCTCGCTAGGGGGTGAAGGCGACGTGCCTGGGCTCCCAAGCCGCTCGCAGCCCCAAGGCGTAGCTGGTGGAGCCCCGGCGGGAGCAGGGCAGGCCACACCCTCACCTTGTTGGCCTGGATCAGGTGGAAGTTCTTCCCGTGCACTCGGAAGCCATGCTCAAAGTTCCTGCACTCCTCCTCGCTCCAAGCACAGAACCCATCTGCAAGCAGGAGGGAGGGCACAACGGCATCAGCAGTGCCCAGGACGTGACAATAGAGAGAGCGGGAAGACCTGGCGCTGCACGCTCACCTCGGATCACCTTCACGTTGAATCGCAGCCTCCGCAGAGCCTCCTCTGCGTTGAAATTGCATTTCACCAGCTCATAAAGTGCCTGGGGGGAAGCCACACTCACTCTTCCAACCTGCCCGCTTCATTGCCCCCCCCCCCCCCCCCCCGGACAACCCCCCGGGGTTTCACCACCCCCCCGGGGGGGGGGGGGGGGGACGGCATTCAGACCCCCACTGGGGCAGGGATACCGGGAGCGCTCACACCGCCACTGGGGTGGGGAATGTCAGGGACGTTCACACCGCCACCAGGGTGGGGATATCGGGAGCACTCACACCCCCATCAGGGTGGGGATACTGGGAGCACTCACACCACCACCGGGGTGGGGAATGTCAGGGACGTTCACACCCCCACCAGAGTGGGGGGACAACATCAGGGAGCACTCACACCCCCATCGGGGTGGGGATACCAGGAGCGCTCACACCCCCACCGGGGTGGGGAATGTCAGGGACGTTCACACCACCACCTGGGTGGGGGGGACGACATCAGGGGGCATTCAGACCACCATGGGGGTGGGGATACCGGGAGCGCTCACACCGCCACCGGGGTGGGGAATGTCAGGGACGTTCACACCGCCACCGGGGTAGGGATATCGGGGTGTTTATACCATCATATCCCCCTTGACAAGTTGTTTTTCATTTCAATTTGCCACCATCACACGACCACACTGGCGCACCTCCCAAACCCCCTCCCGCCCTTGCGTGGGCCCTGCCCTCTGACTCAGGGTGCTACAGCGCCACCGCCCTCTGCGCCCCCGTGGCAGCCCCACCTGCTCGCTGTCTTTCACCGTTTCTCCCTCCGGGAGCTGAGACCCAGCCATCTCGTGCCACCTGCGCTTCACTGCCCGGTACAGGAACTCCTCCACCTCCCTCTCAGGGAGGACGTTGGGGTCCCAAAGCAGCTGGTCGTCATTCTCATAGACTGTGGAGAAGGAGAGCCAGGGTCACATCACAGGCACGCGGCCTGCACCCACCTCCGGAGCTCACGCGCCCCTCTTCCAGCAGCCGCGTCAGAAGCACCTGTCAGGGCAGGCCATCTCAGCTCCTTCCAGGGGACTCCCCTGGTTCTTCCACAACGAAGACCATACACACAGATATCAAAAGATACTATTTCACGACCAGCTAGCGTTTACTCCAGAACGCGAGGCTGGTTTAACGTTTGAAGATCTATCGATATAAAGCATTACGTGAACAGGATGGAAAAAAAAACAACCATCTCAAGAGACTCAGAAAAAATACTTGACGTGAGTCCAACTCGTTCACAGTAAAAACTGTCAGCTACTAACAGGAGGGAACTTTCTCCTCTACAAATAAAATTATGTTTGTTTATTTATTTATTTTTTGAGAGAGCATGAGTGCAAGTGAGGAAGGGCAGAGAGGGAGGAGGGAGAGAATCCCAAGCAGGCTCCAGGCTCTACACTGTCAGCACAGAGCGCAACACAGGGCTCGAACTCATGAACCATGAGATCACGACCCGAGCTGAAACCAAGAGCTGGACATATAACCGACTGAGCCCCACAGGCGCCTTATCCAATACAGAGCACCTACAGAAGCTTAGAGCCAACAGCATACTAAAGGGGTTACTGAACACTTCCCCCAACTTTGGGAACAAGAGAAAAACGTCCTCTATCACCTCTAGATCCTAGAGGAAAAACCAGCACAACAAAGCAAGGAAAAAAATATAAAAATACAAAGATCGCGAAGAAAGAAAGCCATCGCAAGTTATGCCACTGAATACCTAAGAAAACACAAAAGAACCTACAAAACATTAAAGTTGGTAAATGAGCTTAGCAAAGTCACTCCGTACAAGATCAACTAAAACAAACTGCACTTCTACTAACAGAAATCAAGTACAGATGAAACTTCTGAAAACCTCTCGTAAAGCAGCACAAATAGGAGCACAAAGTATGCACAGGACTGCTGCAAAACCACGGCTGGCCCCGCTGGGGTTCGAGAGGGAACCACACGTGTGGACGGCAAGTGTCAATACCACAAAGATCAATTCTGCACAAATTCATTTCAGGGTCCAGGGCACCTCTGATCACAATCCTGGCAGGCATCTTGAGGCAGCTGACAAGCTGTGCACAACTTGTGTGGACAACAAGGCTCCAGAGGGTGGAGGCCTGGCGTCGTCTCCCACTTCCTCTGAGCAGCAACAGTAAGACAGCGTGCTGATGGCCAGGGTCCCGCTAGAGAGACCGGCAGGGCAGCAGTGGACCATTCCAGAAGCGGTGCTGGAGCAGCGGCACACCACATGGGTTAAAGCAGTCCTGACCCACACCTCCAACCACACCCTGGACATGAAGCCAAACCTCGGCTTTCTGTGCAGCAGGGAAACAAAGCAGAACGTCTTGCACAGAAACTTCTCACTGGCACACACACTGTGGGCAGAGTGAAAGCTTGGCCGCTGCCTCCCGGGAGGGACCGTGGCGGCACATGCGGCAGATGACAGACTCGTACCCGGAGCGCAGGAGGGACTGCCACAAATGAGAGAGAGAGGCACACCGGTTTGAAAGAGGGGAAAAGCCTTGAGCAGGTGCCTCACAACAGACGCAACGGCCAGTAAACGTGTTTGCCCTCAGAGAAACGCCAATTACAGCCACAAAGAGACGCCCCTCCACACCCGCTAGGAGGGCTCCAGTCAACATCACATTGTCACGTGTGCACGGGGACGCGGAACGTCGCCGGAGGGGCCCCTGACAAGGGTCTCCTGACCAAAACATGAGCCGACAGTGCAGCTCCCAGCCATCTGTCCGGGAAGAGAGAGACACACACGTACACGTTCGCGGCCACACGTGCCAGCCGTAGCTATCGACCAACAATAGAAGAGATGGGCCATGCGGTCCGTCCACACAAGGAAACAGGGCACAGCGCAATCGAGGTTCTTCTCGGGTGCAGCACAAAGGGAGATGCCAGCTCCCAGCCCCTCGGGGTCAAGGGCCGGCTTGCAGGAGAGGAAAAGGCCCGAAGCCCAGACGCTACTGAGGCTGCGGTTCCAGACTGGGGTCCACCCGTCCTCAAGACCCTCCAAGGGTGTACCTAAGGAGTGCGCACTGGTGCCTCTTTCTGGCGGACAGTCTCGGGTTCTCTCACAGACTGACCTCCACCTGACCTCCCTGTGACCCAGCCGACCTGAGCTTTCCCGGCCCCTCCTTTACCCAAACTGCTTATGGTGCAGCGACCATGTGCCACCAAGCCCACATCCCAGCCACCAGCCAGAGCCCCTGACATCTCCCCTGCCTGCCCCGTCTCTCCACCAATCTCAGCTGCTGAATCATCCTGGGAAAGACCCCTGGCCATGAGTGCCAGCCCCAGGCTCACAGGGGCTTTGGGGCCCGGAAAACAAGACTCAGGCCAATAGCCAGGTGACTTCACGTCCCATTTTCTTCACCTACAGCTGGAGGTGTCAACGCCTATCTGGAAACACAACAAGCCTCATCCCATGTTCTAGGGGGATCGGGGACAGACAGACATCAGGTCCGGAACGGCGAGCATCCTGAGCCTCACCCCATGTTCTAGGGGGAACAGTGCAAGGCACAGAGACCCTAGTCTCTGGAGAACACTTGGGACAAGGTCCAGACACATGAAGGGCCAAGCGGGGAAAGGTGTGCATGCCCAGAGAGACGAGGACAGTGACCTGGGCAGGGAGGAAAGGGGCAGAAGGGGTGAGCCGAGGGCAGCAGAGGGGTACCAGCTGCACAGGGTGGCAGGACCACACAGCACTAAGCTGGAAGGACAGTGAGCAGGACGGGGCGTCAACTGACCCACCCCTTCCTGCCCTGGCCTTGGCCCCAAGTGTCCTATAAGCTCAGGGTGGTGCAGGGGGCACCTGGCCTGAGCCTGGCCCCTCAGATCCCCCCACCAAGAAGGCATGCAGCAGGTTCGTTCCTGACTGGACTGGGGCTCTCCTCTCTTCTCCTCCCAGTAGCCCACACTCACCAGGCCCCACTTACTTTTCTCACCATGGCGGTCCAAGTGCAGGCTGCTGAGGTCAGCTTGGAACTGAGGCCCAACCATGATCTCCTGCAAAGGCAAAGGCCCAGGACACTCAGGGATGATGGGAGGCCAGGCCACAAGGTGATGACATGGGCCCCTGGGTGGCTGCCTAGAGCCCAGGGCTCATCTGTGCAATCTGCCCACAGATACCAAGTCCTGTGATCTTGAGCGCAAGAGGCAGAGGTGGATGTGTGTGCGTGTGAGTGACTCTGTCTACATCCACTTATCCATCTCTCTGCTATAGCTGTCATGTGGCCGGGGCGGGAGGCTCAAAGACCCAAGGGTTCTGAGGTCCAGTCTGAAGGCCCCAGAAGGACCTCCAGGACAGGACCTTGGGCCACATCACAGGGACAGGACTCCGGGGACAGGTCCTCAGGCCACATGATGGGGACAAGAGCAGCAGGTGTGAGTCTCAGTCCCCAACAGCACGGTCAGGCCGCAGCCCAGCTCCCCTCTCAGAAACCACGTGCTCAGCCTTGCCCCCAAGGGGCACAGATCCAGGTTCAAGGCACCGCTGGGTCAGAGCCACTCACCTTCTTACACTTGTTGGCAGGAAGAGGGTCCTCCTCTGTGTCGGACGAGGTGGAGGAGCCAGGCTCTTTGTCTCCGTCAGCCAGGAAGCAGGCTTTGGGGAAAGGGGAACAGCTGAGTCGCGCCCACGGCAGTCTGAGTGGCCTAACTGGCTAGTGGGCCCTGGAGGGCCACTGCCTGCACTTCCCCCTGACTCTCCATCCACCTGACCCCACACTTTGCCCTTCCAGAAAAGGAGCCTGACCCTGGACAGGCGATGGGTGTGAGATGGGCACAGGGCACAGGACAGGGGACTCAGGAGGTACCTCACACTGCCAGGCCTCACAGGCAGGCAGAGTCGAGGGGACAGGCTGTCAGCTACAAGAACCCACACAGTCCCTCCTCATGTAAACCAAAGCCATTCGTGTCAGCTCACAGGCCAAGGCAAGGAGACAGGAGCCCCTGAGGAGCTCAGACTGAGATCGGGACACATCCAGGTGCAACAGACATCCGTGCACAAGTCCTCGATCCCCAGCATCCCGGGGCCCCTTCCCCTGCATCACCAGAGCTGTGCGTGGCCCGCCCCCAAGGACAGTGCAGGAGCGGGCGGGACACCTACGTCCACTCCGGTTAGGAAACAGATCGGAGGCCGCATGGGAGGTCACGGACGGGGTAAGGTCATCAGCCGAGGACTGTGTCTCTTCCTCTTCTTCCCCTGAAAGCAAATCCTTCGCTATTTGTTCCTTTTAACAAGAAAGCAAAGAACGTTTTTGTGGTTTGTTTCAACAACCTCGAGACGACACTTAGTAACAAGCGACCGCGCTAACTCAGTGACTACCAGCAGCAGCCTCACGCTGGAAACGCCCCGAGAGCCTCACGCTGGAAACGCCCCGAGAGCGCCCGTGGGTGGTTCCTTCCGCTCTGAAGATGAAGGGACCAGGCACAAGGACAGGCCGGCAAGGGGACCACTCCTTACACCCAGGGTCAGCAGAGCCCCTCCCTCCTGACACCTGCCCCAGAGGGCCCGGCCCAAGGGCATTTCTCCACACCAGTCTCCACTCGGCCCCTTCTCTAGCCCCTGCCCGTGGCCACCTGAGCCATGGGTGGGAAGCCACAGCCACTGAATCAGCTCTGACTCTGGGGAGTGGGGCGGGGGAACAGACAGGGCTCTTGAAGCAGTAGGCCTGGCCTGATGCCGCGACAGCACATCTGTGAGTGCCAGGGCCTTCTCGCCTGTCCTCCCTGAACCCTGCTCCCAGTCCACTCACCTTGTCCAGGGTCATGTCAGGGAGATTGGCTGTGGTGTCACTGCCCTCGCTCTCCCGCTCCGAGATGGGGTCTGACGCTTCATAGCCATAGAGGGCAAGCAGTTCATCAAGGGGCATGTCGCTGCTCTGCAGGGGCCAGGGCTGAGTCAGGAGGCTGCTCGGGGCTCTGAGCCACGTTGGCCACCACAAGCAGAACCACCTCGTCACACTCACAGCAGCTAACTCCAGCCAGACCCCAGGCCCAGTCCTTCAACCAAAGACTCCCTTACGACCCCCAATAGATGCAGGGACAAGACACCTGTTCCCAGAGAAGTCAGCTATTTGCCCAAGGTCACCAGCCTTGAAGGGTGGGGCCAGGATTGGCCTCTCCATCCTCACGGCACTGCCCAGGCTTAACTCCAGCAATGCAAGGATGGCTCGATACCTGTAAATCTACCCTCACAACTTATGATGTCAATAAATCAGACGGGGAAAAACAAGACCATCTTAATAAACGTGAAAGAAACATCTGGGAAAATCCAACATCTGCTTCTGATTGAAAAAAACAAAACAACAACTACAACGACAACGAAAACTCAAGATGCTAAGTAGAGAGATGTCTGCCTCATCAATGTAACAGAGGTGCCGTGAGCCCTCAAGGGGTTGGTAACGAGCCACCAGAGCAACCCCATCCCATCTGAACAAGAAGGGAGGCTCAAGCCCACCGTAAGACACTACACGCCAATGCAACAGGACAAGAAACAGGAATGAGACATTTGATGACTGGGAAGGAAGAGACAAAACTACCACTGCCTTCCTCTCTAGTGCTGGTCGCTGTTCCTCACACCCACCTGTCTGCTCCTGAAGCCAGTGTTGTCCAGCCACACTGCACCCTGACCCTGCGGGTCACAGCCAGCCTCCAGCTCCCTGGACCTCCCTCTCATTCTCTCAAGATGCCTGCCTCCCCTGTACCCCAGTTCCTGCCCTGCCCTCACCCCGGGGGGCTCCAAGTCCACGTGGAAGAACACCCAACTTGTGCCCAGCCCCCTCCCAACTGACCCCGAGGTCCCCCTTCCACCCTCACAGGACCCCACTGACAGGGACATTCGTTACCTCCACCACAGTTTCCAACCGTGCATTTGTTGGGGGATTAACACAGTGGCCCAAAGACCCCCTGGGCTCCCGGGACCCTTTCTGGGGGTCCCAGAGGCACCGCAACTTTCACGGTAATAGGACGTGACTTCCGGCTCTCGCTGTGCTGGCGCTGGTGCCAAGGGAGCGAGCCAACGGTGGGGCACAGCACCCTCCGGTCGAGGCAGGAGCACAGGGTGTGCGAGCGGTTAGCGTGCGCACCTCCCACCACCCACTCAGCCGTAAACGTGCCATTCTCGCTCCAGAATATCCCGTACAAAATCACTGATTTCATCAACTCTCCCTCTGAGCAGCCGTGGTTCAATTTGCCGCGTGAGGAGACAGGAAGCACGCAGAGTGGCTGCCACACCCTGCAGTGAGGGTTTGTGCCGAAGCACCAGGGTCACAGCCGTGCCGGACGCACACCGTCCTGAGCTCGCCGCTGCACTCGTACCGGACGGCACGGCTGGCAGGTGACAGTGGTCTGGCCCGGCGCAGACGCCTTCGGACACGGGCCAAGTTGGCCGTTACATCCAAACAAACAACTATGTGCTACAAGGGTGAAACTCCGGTCCCCGAGGAAAAAATTAGAATTTTGGGAACTCTGGATCTGACAACGTGTGCCTGACAAATTCACGATCCTGTTAGGTAAGGTCATACAGAACGGCAGTGTTTCCACAATTACCTTGGATGTTATATTCTTTCCTAATCAGTTTTTTAAAAACCTAGATAAGGTATTCAACTAATAAATGGCCGACTTTAGTTTTTGGTTAGATTTGAGAAGTTTTAAATTCACGTTAAACTTTTGTTTTTTTCTTTGATGTTTATTTATTTATTTTTGAGAGAGACAGAGCATGAAAAGGAGAGGGACACACACAGAGAGAGAGAGAGAAAGAGAGAGAGAGAGAGAGAGAGAATCCCAAGCAGGCTCTAGCTGTGAGTGCAGAGCCCCAATGTGGGGCTCAAGCCCAGGAATCTTGAGATCGTGACCTGAGCCAAAGTCAACAGTCAGATGTTTAACCGACTGAGCCCCCCAGGTACCCATGTTTTCTTTTTTGTTTTGTTTTTAACTTTTTTATGTTTGTTTTTTTCAGAAAGAGACAGACAGAGTGTGAGCAGAGGAGGGACAGAGACAGAGGGAGACACAGAATCCGAAGCAGGCTCCAGGCTCCGAGCTATCAGCCCAGAGCCCGACGTGGGGCTCGAACTCATGAGCCGTGAGATCATGACCTGAGCCGAAGTCGGACGCTCAACCGACTGAGCCACCCAGGCAACCTCCGTGTTTTCTTTTCTGAAGAGAAGACCTGCCTTTGGTCTTAAGACCAAATTGGCACCGAGCGATACATAGCACCAAACTGCATAAAGTGCCCGCGATTATTACGTTAAAAGAAAAAAAATTCCCAATACTTGAAAGATGTTTGATGAGATCAGTGTAGATACTGAACAAACCAAATGTTCGTGTCTCGCCAAGATGCACATGCCAGACCCCAACTCTCAATGTGACTGCACGTGGAGATGAGCCTTTACACAAGGAATTACGGGGAAATGAGTCGTGAGGATGGGGCCCTGACCCAAGAGGGTCAGGTCCTCAAGAGAACGGGCCCCAGACAGCCGCCCTCGCTCCGACACGAGCACAAGGACACAGCGAGACGGCAAGGAACCGGAAGTCAGGATGAGGGCCCTCGGCAGAAACCACCATGCCTGAGCCTGGCTGCGGCCTTCTGGCCTCCACGATTATGACAGAAATAAATCTCTTGTGCGGAAGCCCCCGGGGTGTCTCGGATCCTGTGGTGCACAGGCTGCAAACACCTCACGATGAGGAGGATAAAGAGCCACCGCAAGGTCACCACCAACAGGTCCTGACACAACCAAGCACGGAATGTCACAGGGCATGTGGCAGAAGCCCCTCTGCAATCCCCTTTACAGAACCACCACTGACTGACTCTGGGGGCAGCGTCCAGGAATGTCCACCACGATCTGGGAAGGCGCTCCCCTCTTCCAAGAACAGACGTGTATGAAGCTAGGTTTACACTCCAACCAAGAGAACAGATCACTGCTCATCAACATCTGCCTTCAAGACAGTAGCTGGGCTCTCGGATCCGCTTCTGCATTTACAGAAACACAAAGCGGTTCCACTCTTCTCCCCAACTTGCTTTAGTTGGGGAAAAGCTGTTTTTTCATTTTCACAAAAATACGCTATTTCTATTAACAATGGATTTACTGCATAACCCGCACAAAACCCCTTGAGATCCTCCAACGTTTGAAGGCCACAGAGGGGGTTCTGAGGCCAAAAAAAGTCTGACGACAGTGGGTTTTGTGCCTAGAACCCTAAAGCCCCAGAGGCACGACCGGGTCTGGCCCGGCCCCCACCATCTCAGCTCCTAGCACAGTGCCTGGCGCTTTGCAAACAGATGTGCACACAGCACTTGTCCCTGTGAAATCTGAGTTTCAAGACTAATTCAGCAAATGAAGAAACCGTGACCTTGCCCGGGGGCTCCCCCTACACAGGGGCACAGGGGACGAGCTCAGCCAAGCACCTGGGAGATGAAGTCCTTCTCCAACTCTCCCTCCGGCTTCCCTGGGTCTCCTGCAGCCTGGTCGCACTCCTGCCGAATGCCGTAGTTCTGTGACAGGATCTCAACAAGGTTGAACTGATGGTCTGCAGAGCCCATGGACACCACTGTGGAGGAGACACCCGCCTGCGTGAGCTCCCCACCCCTCACCCCACGCACACCAGCCATCGTGCAAGGCTGAGGACGGCTGGGGTAGGACGCAACAGTGGCCCGCTGTCACCTGGGACAAAGCCCACAGCCTGCAGGTATGTGCACGTGTGGGTACATGCATACACGTGCAGAAGGCTGTGTGTGTGTGCGTGTGTGTGTGTGTGTGCGTGCACGTGCGTGCACGTTCAACGCGTGTGCACACCAGTGGCCAGCATGGTCAGTCTACCACGTGGGAACTCCCAACAGAACGACCCCTGAGAGAAGAAGACACCTGGCTAACTGGACACACGGATTCTGGACATTTGGGGGGGATGTGTTCTCCTGGGCGCTTGCTTGGTCCCCCAACCACAGACACCGGTGAGGGTGTGGGCAGGAGCCCACACACTGGGAAGAAATGAGCACCAGGCGAGCGAGGGCAGGAAGAGCGGAAGGCCTGGCGGGGCCCTCAACTCCGGAAACGCACAGGTGACTGCGCACCCACGAGGGCCTGCGGGGCCGGCACGGTGCGGGCAGGACGCCCGCAGGACACACGCAGCAGGCCCGTCCAAGGCCAGTCCTTTCTGCTGCCTCGGCAGAGCAACACCAGTGCCACCCGCACAGGCCAATGTGTGGTGCACGTCACCAGATTTCTGGTTTTCCCAGAAGAAGCAGGATGGGATCATTGCTCTCTCTCTCCCCATTCTGGTCTTCAGTAAGTCAAATTTAAAGAAAACAAACACAAAAGGAAATGGCTAGAGCTCAATCCCCCCAGGCCAGGGAGCGATGAAGGCTGAGGCTGGACGGGAAGGGGGCCAACAGCCAGCCTGGGAGGGGTGCACAGCACCCAGGAGCTCACCCACAGCAAAGCCCCCAGTTTTCCTGCGGCCAGCGGCTCCAGCCCGAGGCCTTGGCTAAGGTGCCTGCCAGGCCAGCGGGACATGCCAGGAGTAAGGCACTCTGGCCCTCTCCTGGGCAGCCCTGCCCGCACCAGAAAATGGGGAGAGCCCTGGCCACTCTGCCTACATACCTGTCCCTGGACCCTGGGAGCCAGCACACTGTGTCTGGCTCTGCCAGGCTGGGTGGGACTCTGTCTGTCACAACCACAAAGGCCCTGGTGGCCCTGGGCAGGAGGAAGGAAGGGGCAAGGAATGTACCTGCTGTTGTCTGCAAGCTGGGCTCCCCGGGGCACAGGCTGTGAGTGAGGCAGGAGGCCACGCGAGGGCTCTGCCTCTCCAGCGAGGAGGCCTGCGGAGAAAGAGAAGCAAGGTTAGCCCGGTGGGCCCAGGACCCGCTGGGGCACATCTCTGCATCCCGCCTGGGAGCAGGTTCAGGTCAGAGCCCAACTCCCCAGGCAGCCTCAGAAGTGGCCTCATATGGGAGGAATCTCAGCTGGCTTCTGTGCAGAAACTGACAGAGTCCAAAAATCACATGAGGAGGGGCAGACAGCGAGGGGGACACAGAATCTGAAGCAGGCTCCAGGCTCTGAACTGACAGCACAGAGCCCGACGCGGGGCTCGAACCCACGAACCATGAGATCATGACCTGAGCCAGAGTCGGACACTGAACCGACTGAGCCACCCAGGTGCCCCAAGACATAAAACTATGAAACTATAGAAGTCTTAGAGAAAAACACAGGAATACATCTTTTGTTACCCTGGACACAGGCCGTGGCTTCTTAGATAAGGCACCAAGAGTTAAACTACATGAACCAGATTTCATCTAAAGAAAAACTTTTCTGTTTGAAAGGCCATCACTGAAGAAGGCAATCCACAGAGCAGGGAGAGGCCTTCGAACCGTGCAGCTGAGAAAGGACTGTGTCGAGAACACACAAGGAACTCTTGCAACTTGTTAATGAAAAGATAACCCAATTTAAAAATGTGCAAAGCATCTGCACAGACATTTCTTCAAAGAGATACACAGACGGCCAATGAGCACATGAAGAAATGCTCATCAGAAGAAAGCAAATCACAGGCGGAAATGCAAAACGGAGCCAGCACTTTGGGGAGCAGCTGGCGTAGGAGTTCCACTGCTTGCTAGACACCTAGGGGTCAGAGTGTGTCACCCCAACGTGTGCCACTCTGGCGTGAGGGCTACTCTGGGACGAAGACACTGAGCAAGAACAGACACAGGACGACCTCTGTAAATCACTGTGCGGGTGCCTCCCCTCCCGAACCAGGAAGGGAGCAGGTTAGCACTGAAGATGACCGGGCACCCAGCTCACTGAACACACACACCTTACTAACTAGCCTGACCTTCTACTAGTTCCCTGCACATCCACCTTCCCACGACTTGTTGCCTGGACAGACTCAAAGTCCTCCTGTGTCGTAACAGTCCATACAAGTTTATCGTTCTTTTGTGCAGATGCTCTCAGAAGTCCAAGCCCTAGCCACCCCCTTGGGTTACTCATCTGACTTCTCCGGCACATGTGCTGCTGGGTTAATAAACTGTGTATGTTTCCCCTTTGTTCATCTGTCTCTTGACAGTCTAAGTCCCCACCTGAAAACCTAAGAGGGGAAGGGAAAGGGTTAAGCCCTGCTTCCCCTAAGACACCCAAGGGAGAAGAAACCACACATCTACACTAACACTTGCACATGAGCATTCGTGGCGAAACCATTCACGAGAGCCAAAGATGGAAAGAACACGAATGTCCATCCGCTGATGAACAGACAAACCAAAGCTGAAAAATGGAACGTCCCTTGGCCCCGAGCAGGAGCAAGGCGCCCACACCCGCCACCCCGCGGACGGACCCTGAACACACATCGCTCAGGGAGGGAACCAGACACAAGAGGCCACACAAGGTGTGAGTCCACGTGTGTGAACATCCAGAATAGGCCCATCCACGGACAGGAAGGGGGCTCGTGGGGGCCAGGGGTGAGGAAAGATCAGGGGTGATGGCTGATAGAGACAGGGTTTGCTTCAGGGGAGATGGAATGTTCTAGAGTTGACTGCCGATGGTCATACAACTCTGAACGTACTTAAAACCACTGAATTGTACACGTTAAAGTGAGCGAACTGTATACGAATTATACCTCCTTAAAGCCATCTGTACGTGCACGCACACACACACATACGACTGGAGTATTTAATAAAACTTTTAGAGCTTAGAACAGCAGTTTAGTAAGAATTTCCTCAGAGTCCTCAAGAAAACCTCAAGAGGTTGTGTAACCCTCCTCCTAAGAGAAACAAAGGGACTGAAGCTCAGAGAGATCGAGCCACATACCCTAGCTCACACAGCACATAAGGACAGCGACTACAAACTCCGACCGAGGCCCTTCAAAAACCTGGCAGCATAAATGAAGGAACAGCACAGCCAGGAGAGAGAGCTGGTAGGCAAAGCCAAGCCACAGGCACCGGAGCACAGCAGGCAGGGGCTCACAAGGACCGTGGTGCAGAAATGAGGGGCACAGGGCTGGTGGGCACGGGGCCCCAGCTTCTCCAGGAGGAAGTGTAGCATGGTACACGGCCTCTGCCGGGAGCACTGGGAGGTTCTGGGCTGGAGCAGGGAGTAGGGAGTTAGGGAGCCCGGTCGGGGCAGCAGAGGCAGCATAGACAGAGGGGAAAGGAGCCAGTGGGGTGGAGCTGAGACACGGCAGCGGGGGCTGGAAGCAGGCAGGGGACACAGAGCACCGTGGCCTGCGTGGCCTGCCACAGATGGCTTCACCTTCAGCCTGCACCCTAAGTGTCCTCTGAAATCACACGGACCCTCTCTAGGACCCTCCGCAGTGATGAGTTTCCAGCCTCCCTGGGCTCCCTCCCCCAGTGCAACTAGGCTGGCTTTCTGTCTCTTGCTACCAAGAGCTCTGATGGGCAGGCCGAGAGAGGCCAGCGTGTGGACGGCTCGGCTCCTTTTCCAGACAGAACGCTGCTCCCAGTCCAGACCTGAGGTGCAGGGTCTGAGAAGGATGTGGCCCTTATGTGACTTGCCCTCTGACAGAGGAGCTCAGGCAAAGGAGCAAAGACAAGTGTCTGGAAGGCTCCTTCCCACCACCACCCCCCCCCCCAAGGAGGGGGCAGGACTCTGAGCACCCTGCTCCCCACAGGGGACTCAGTGGCCTCAGATCCCCAAGTTCATTTCCAGAGGACTCCAAGTTCCTCAAAACTCACCAAGAAACACTGACTTTGTGGATTCTCTTCCCTCCCCCCGTCCCAACACCTGACCTCTCAGTGCAAGCCCTGGGGTTCCCAGGGGTTCTACTTCCTCTGTTCAGAACACTCTGGATGTCTCCATCAGAGTCAAAGCCCTCCACTCTGCCAAAATGGAAGAAGAAACAGGATGGGGAGTGGGTGGAGGGCATTCTGGGTAAAAAACAAGGAAAGGAGGGAGGAAGAAAAGGAACTCTAAAGACTTGATCACAGGGGAGTGGGCGACCCCAGCCTCGGGAAGGACAGGCATGGTCACCAGTCCTGACTCAGGGGACCCTGACTGCTCAGATGTAGAGGCCAGGGCAGCTCTTCTCCCGGGACAGCGTATGACTCCTCCCACAACTTCCAAGCAGAACCCACAATGATGCCGTGGCAGACTCCACTCTGCAAAATAGCTGCACCCACACATCCCGTCCCGCAAGCTCTTCTGGGACACTGACACGCCACCCCCTCCAGAAGTGGGATTCTGTGCCCCTTCCCTGGGGATCTGGATGGGCCTGGGACTTCAGGCAGGGTGGGGGACGGGGGCACACTCCATGTGACTTCCAAGGCTAGGTCTTAAAATGCAAGTCAGGTTCCATCTGGTACCTTCTGGTAAAGCCATTCAGCTGCCATGCTGTGAGGAAGCCCAAGCTACACAAAGGTCGTGTGTCCGTGTCCCAGACAACAGCCAACACCAACCACACGTGAGCAAGGAAGCTTGCCTCCATGGGGGTCGGCTCCAGCCCCGGCCACCAACCATTGCAACCGCCAAGAGCAACCCTGAGTGAAAACCTCCTGGCTGAGCCCAGCCAGCCCTCAGCACCACAAAAGACAGCAACGAAACAACTGTAATTTTAAATTGAATTTCAGGGGTTCCTGGGTGGCTCAGGTGGTTAAGCGTCTGGCTTCGGCTCAGGTCACGATCTCGTGGTCTGTGGGCTCGAGCCCTGCGTCGGGCTCTGTGCTGACAGCTCGGATCCTGGAGCTGATTCGGATTCTGTGTCTCCCTCTGTCTCTCTGCTCCTCACCCACTCACGCTCTGTCTCTCTCTCAAAAATAAATAAAAGATTTAAAAATTTTTTTTTCAATAAACAAACTGACTTTTTTTTTTTTCAACGTTTATTTATTTTTGGGACAGAGAGAGACAGAGCATGAACGGGGGAGGGGCAGAGAGAGGGAGACACAGAATCAGAAACAGGCTCCAGGCTCTGAGCCATCAGCCCAGAGCCTGACGCGGGGCTCGAACTCACGGACCGCGAGATCGTGACCTGGCTGAAGTCGGACGCTTAACCGACTGCGCCACCCAGGCACCCCAACAACTGACTTTCAAAGTGATTCCTTACACGGTGACAGCTACCCAGAACACCTTCCACCCACAGCCAGTTGCACTGCCTGGTTCCCCACTGACTGCTGGGGCGCCACCCTCCCCCAGCTGACCAACGCTTACTGAACACGTGCTCTGGGCCAGGTGCACCACAGTCCATCAACAAACAAGTTCTGCCCGTCTCCTCCCACACACGTCACCAGTCTAGCTGGGGACACGGACAGCAAACGAGTGGGAGTGGACATCCACAGGACTGAGGGGACACGATGGGGTTCTGGGACAACACCAGGGCAGCGGAGTCTCCCCAAGGGCATTACGCCGCAGGAGGGAATGGAAGGAGTGGGGGCGGGGGGAGGTGGTCTGTGAGGGTCACATCACTGGGGTGAGATCACAGGGAGGAGATGCACTTTACCCTAAGGACAAAGGAAAGGCGTGGAGGGTTTTAAGCACGAGACAAAGTGTACTTGGGTCTTTCAAAGACCGATATCCAGGAGGAAGACAGTGTGAAATGCTCCCATCTTTTCTCCTGATGCTGACAACCACTCCAGCAACTACACCAATCAGGCGGCTAATACCGATCAAGCACGTACCAGTAGCTTACAAACTGCCATCTGTACCGGTTAGACACAGCCGATTGCCAGCAGCTTCCTCGTGCCAGCCACGGAGCTGAGATCTTGGGAGAGCTCTCCACTGGAGGGTCTCATTTCAGAGATGAGGAAACCAAGGCTCTGAAACATTCAGTCACCTGCCCAAGGTCACACAGAACTAAGAGGTTCCAGCGCTGCAACAGGTCCCCTGGGCAGAGACTGGCTGTGGCTCACCGCTTCTGACATCTGCACACTTCTTGGCCCTTTACTGACAAGGCTCTCTCTGACCAGACTCTAAGGCCCTTCATTTAGGACAGGCACCATCAGGTTTGTGCTCACGGCCAGACGCTCGGGCCTTGCATCGAGCCAGGCACGTGGGGGATCTCACACAAAGACCTTTTCCTAGGAAACCAACTCAAATCCACTCAAATGCACCACTGCACACTGTCAACATGTGGGACGGGGACACCCTGGGCAGCGGGCTGCTGTGAGGGTCTAGGGCCTTCGCACCAGGCAAGGCAGCGTCAACAGCCAAACCCAACAGCTCCCAGGGGAGGCCAGCTGGGGAGTCTGCCCCGTCCATCCACAGCACACCTGCCAGGCCGAGAGTGCTGACCCAATGCGGGGCTGACCCAGCCCCTGAGCCGGGAGCACACACAGACCCAAAGACACTACCGCCACACCCCACTAGGCCACTGAGACACCTAGCTTTTCTGCCTTTGACTCCCAAGACCAGCTTCCCTAAATGCAAAGCAAGGAGAACTAAGAAACCTTCGGGTCCAGCCACCCCACACAACTGGCTGGTGAGGCCCCGCCTTGCACCCAGACACCCACACCACCTCTAGCGCAAACCAGGGCCTGTTGCTGCCCCTCAGAAGGTCACTGGTGGGAGAGAATGGCCATGTCCGCCCTGCACAGCACCTACCCACGTCGTGCCAGGACAGAGAACTCACCTTGGCCCCACAGCCATGCCGAGTATCCCACGACCCTGCTGCGCCTCACTGGGTGGACCCCTTCTCCTCTCTGGGTCTCGGGGAGGGGGGGGCGGGGCTACCCATTTGATGAGGGGTTGCGTGCTGAGTCTGACAACCGACTGCATCCCCAGACTAAAACGTCGCGCGCTGAGAGTCACATTACTGAGCCCTGGCAGCTGCAGTCTCCTTTAATCCTCAGTAGGGCCCCAAGAGCAGAGCAGTGCACCCAGTCTTATCCAACATTCCAAAGTTTAAAAAAGGCCCAAAAGTGAAAGTTTCCCGTCCCTGGTTTGACAGGACTTGAAACTACTTGCTGACTGTGTTTTCCCAAACGATCCCAGGCATTATCAGATCAGCCCTCACAGCTCCACACCCCACAAACCCTCAAATCGGAAAACCTCTGCATCGGAAAACACATCTGGCCCCAAGGACTTCGGGGAAGGGTTCGTGGGCCTGCTTCACGGCCCGAGACAGGAGGCTCCGAGAAGTAACTTGAAGCAGCCGGGCCAGGCTGGTCTGCCCGCCGGGGAGGCGGGGGCGGGGGGGAGCCCCGACGCCCTAGGCCCTCCCAGCGCACCCCGGTGCCGGCGCTACGCAGGGCGGGCCCTATGTCGGAGTTCGAGTCCCGTTCGGGACCCGGTGGGAGCGAATGCGCGGTGTCCAGCACGGAGGGGGGGGGAGGGGCTCACGAGCGGGCTGCGGTGCCCGGTCTCACCCGGGGTTCCGACGGGAGAGCGCGGCGCGCCACGACCGCGCGCCCGGAGAGCGCACTCCGCAAAGTTGGCCAACGCCGTGAGGGCAGGGCTGCGCGCCGCCGGGAGCCCCCGGGGGTCCAGGGCCTAGGAACGAGGAACCGGGCAGGAGGGTGGGGAGCGGGGTTGGGGGTCGAGTGCCGGGGAATCCCGGCCGGAGAGCAGGGCGCGTGCCCCCACCCCGCGTCTGCCCTCTCCCCGCAGGCCCGCCCCTCCCCTCCCCACTCCGCGCCCCCGCCCCCTGCCCGCACATGCGCACTGCACCCCGCGATGTGGCAGCCGACCGGGGGGGGGGGGGACAGAGCCGGGGGCGGCCGCCGACGGAGCTCCGCGCCCCTCGGGCCCCGACGGGCGCGGCGCCCCGAGCCCAG